TTCTCTTCATTTTTGCCCACATTCTTTGCTGGATGGAAAGACCAAGTCTCACTCTGAAGGCAAGACTATCCATTTCTCCACCCTATCCTTCGCCTACGGCCATACCACCATGAATACACCGGTTCTCGTCCGATCACCGAAGTTAAGCATGGTAGGGCCAGGTCAGTACCTGGATGGGTGACCGCCTGGGAACACCTGGTGTTGTAGGCTTCATCATCTTTTCTTTTTTCGCCTAAAAAGGTCGAAAATGCGTCTTTTATCTGCCTGCCCTTGTTTCTTCTTCTCATTAGTTGCTTTTCTCTCTAGGTTCTTAACGAGTCGGCCTCGATTCCATTACATTTATCTCAGCACAGCAACCAGATGTTCCTTTTTCGTCTCACCAAAGATACTCGAATAGTGACTGGATAGGAAACTGCGAAGCGGACAATAGAACATGTTACGCATCACTGCTTATTCAAACTTGTAGGGAATGATCATTTCCGGTTTGTTTGGTTTTGACTGATAATGACGAGCTTCGCAGCTATTCGGCACGGTAGTTAACTGTTGTAGACTTACCAAGATAAGCTAATTTGTCCCTTGTTACGTTTTCAACGAAAAATGAAAGAAAAAAGGAGTGGAGAACGCAGCTTTTGTGTAAAGTAAAAAGATGCGATAGGAGTTTCAACGCAGAGAGGGCCTACATCTGCGCAAGGCATTTTGATCAACATTGCTTTAGGATCGGTAAGTCACTGTAACTTTCATTACTTCTTTCATTGATTATTTTTTTTGCCTATTATTTTATAAGAGTTTTATTATTAAGATTGGATGCAGATCTCATTAAAAAATCCTTTCGGGGGTAGGGGGGCTACGAAATAGGTTATATAAATATTACTTAGGAATTCAATCGATTTTTGACTTATTATTGGGGGGAGCTGTCACGACCCCCACAACTCCTATCAATCAGTTGCTGGTGATAGGTCGACTGAGAATATCAACAGTGTCACCGTTGAATAAACAAAGCAGGCAATAGTCTGATGGGACGAAAGTCCCCCTGAGAAAAGTGTCAAAATCATCAACTGTCATTGAGACAAAAATATCTAACAAAATTAGAAGCAAAGTTGGGGGGCAACTCAAATTTTCTTTATCTTGTATTCATATTGACAATAAATTATTTCATAATGTTGTTTGTAGGAAAGACTGGAAGAAAAGACCTCCTTGTTGGAAGTTTGCCTACACAGTTCTTACATAAAAGAAGTCATGAAAATAACCAAGGGAAACATAGGCGTGAGCTTGAAAGACTTTTTCAAGAGGTGCCCTTACCAGTGCTTTACAAATGAAGAGGTTTCGCAGATTTCAAAAAGAGCATTGGCAAAATAAAACAGCCCTGGGTCATTTTACATAGCTCTGATGAGACTGTACCCTTAGGTCTTGCTGACAAAACTGGTAATATTCGGAACAAAGTTTCTGTGGACCCCTTTTCGAATGATACAAATTTTGTTCTCTCTGAGAAATCCTCTGAAGAAAAGAAAGAGATGTAGCTTTCCTCTTAGTTGGAAAGCGAGGAAAGTGTTTCAATGCTTCAGTAATAGAGGGGGCAGTAATAAAAACTAGAATACCAGCAATTTTGGCATAACGAGTTTTGTATATTGTTAAAAAGACCAGAAAATGAATATTTCTCTATTAGAATTATTTTTGTAATATTAGCTATATTTCAAGCTGTTTAGTTCATATTTCATCCATATTCAATTGTTGAAGTATTTTAAGAAATATTAACTTTTGCCTGATAGCTGAGCATTTCAAGTGGGCTTGCACATTTGTTCTAACATTTTCATCCTCCATACTTTCTGGAAATTTTCCCACATGGAATCCAGATAATTGGTTTTGCTTTCCAATTTGTTCTTAAAAAGACCTCTTGGGAAGCCTATTGTATCAGCAGGTCCTGCAAGTTCCAGTAGCCTCTGAAGAACTTTCCATTATATTCCATCAAAACCGTCTTGTTGGCCATCGATTCTAAAGCACCCTTAATGATTGAATTCATACAAATCTGAGGGGCATCATGTTCTTTTTCCTTTAAAGTCACCCCCTTTTTCTTACGATATGGCTCTTTAACTTTCCTTTTCTTTGCATTGCTCCTCGTTTGTTGGTGAATAACAAAATTTGACTGTCATCACAAAATTTAATAGTGGTTTCCTAAAAGGAAAACATCAATAATAATTTAACCAGACGTACACCTGCTACAGGGGTGCACAGCTCTGTACCCTCAAAAGTATAACAAAAACGGGAAACATGATTAGACGAGAAACTTTCCATTTTATTGTTTCGTGATTTGTTTATATGTTGACTGGTGCTGCTGCCGTGTCGATGAAAAATCAAGCCAAAGCCAACATCATTAATTTAAAACAAGTATCTTCCTAGGCCTAATTATAATGTAAATCAACATTTTCACTAGCATTATCCCTGGTTCATCGAACATACATTATGTTCAATCGGCATTCTTGCAATTACTCGTTAGAAAATGAAATATTGAAGTTTGATAGAAGGGCCTACATGGCCATGACTTAAATTCTTATTCGCGGAGACAGAGATAATGGCTGCAGCGCCTTTAAAGTACACAAAGAAACGGACTACATTACCTCGACAACAAGTTCAAGTAATTCTTCGTCGATTTGGCCATTAAAATAGGTGAAATCCATTCTTGGATGTTGCTTTTTTCGGTGAATGTCCTGGTCGTGAGACTAAAACCGGAAATGACTATACCCTACAACTTTTCCAAAACACGCGATTGGAAGATAAACGTAATCGCCTATTGTTGTCTGCGCAGTTTCCTATCCAGTCACTATTCCAGTATCTTTGGTCTCACTCAATTACGAATTACCAACAACTACTCTAGGTGGTACTACTTTTTCACATTGGCTAAATTGACAGGGACAAATTGCCAATCAGTCAATGTGATCCTTCATTCGATTTCGGTTTAGATCAGCTTCGTGTTGCGATGCAATCGTGTAGGGTTCTAGCTGATTACAAACTGGTCAAATGAATTCACGAAACACGAAACACTAGCTGCCTACCAAAACTAACTAACCAACTTTTACTTGTACTTGCAGTTGTATGTAGTCAGCCATATTTTCAAGAAGCCGTTCTGCTCTTGCTAGCTAAAGCATCACTGGCTGGAGATCTAAGCTGGAAGAGGAAAATGTCCATCAACCGCTTCGCTACATGTTTCATTTCAGCCTGTTCGATTTCTCTTCATTTTTGCCCACATTCTTTGCTGGATGGAAAGACCAAGTCTCACTCTGAAGGCAAGACTATCCATTTCTCCACCCTATCCTTCGCCTACGGCCATACCACCATGAATACACCGGTTCTCGTCCGATCACCGAAGTTAAGCATGGTAGGGCCAGGTCAGTACCTGGATGGGTGACCGCCTGGGAACACCTGGTGTTGTAGGCTTCATCATCTTTTCTTTTTTCGCCTAAAAAGGTCGAAAATGCGTTGTTTCGTTGATTATATATTCTTAAAGGACATTATTATTATGTTGACAAGTTGCTTTGTATTATCCCGCTCTGTTTTATTCTTATGCAAATTAGTTTAGTTAGTAGTATTCACACGTTGGAAAATAGGACACGATCGTTACCGCATGCTAACCAGGAATAATATTTAGACAGAAACCAGCTTATCAAAGACACTTTAGAGACATCACCATAAGTAAGTAAGTTTATTTTATTGTATTTTCGCATTCAGTTTCCATTCCAGTTATTCAGTTTATCGCCGCTGTAAGACGTTTTGTATTTACTTATATTCATAATTTACTTGTTTTAGATCGAATAAGATTTTCATTATACGATTGGGTGTCTTGTTCTAAAGTCTGTCCTGTGAGGAAACATACTTGAAGAAACATACATTCGATTTATGTTAAATTGTCGAAGAACGCGAGAACTGTAAACCGAGCGAATAATGATAGGAAACCATGGCGGAAACTGAACAGTTGAAACGTGGTAAAATCGATCGAAGAACTGCGAAAGGAGCTTTTACTCGAGCCTGGAAAGCGTTAGATCACGTAATCGGTAATGAAAGACCGGTAAACGAGGTACAAGAACTTTTGGATAAATGTAAAGGAGCGTTTGAACTTTTAGTGCAAAAACACGAGGAGTTTACAAATCTAATCGAGGATGACGATGAATATGAAGTAGAGGAAAGATGGTTAGCGGAATGCCAGGACTCATTTATGAAAATTGAAACGAAGGCAAAGCAATGTATTGATAAATTGAAGGAAATTTCAAGCGAAGACGAAGACGAAGTATCGGAAACAGCGTCAGTATTTTCAAGAAATTCTCGCGAGAACCCCCCGAGTGGAAACCCACAACAGTTTGATGGAATTCCAAATATGCAGTCAATGACTCGAGGAGAAACAAATGAGGGCAGTGTTGACAAAGACGAAGCGGATCGTTTCCAGGTATCAAAAGGATTAGCGATAAAGGAAGACAATGAAAACCCAATTAAGGAACAGCAATTTTGTGGTTTTAAAGTTGAGAAACCTAAAATGCCATCATTTTCAGGTGATGTAAGAGAATATGCAATTTTTCGTTCTGACTTTAAACATGCAATCGAGGCTCGATACACCAAAAGGGACGCCATTACACTGCTACGTACCTGTTTGAAAGATAAACCTTTGGAATTGATCAAAGGAATTGGATCCGATTATGATGCAGCATGGGAGTATTTGGATGCTATTTATGGAGACCCTCGTTTTGTATCAGATGCAATCACACAAGATATTACCAAATTCAGACCACTACAGGATGGTGAAGATGCCCGTTTTTGTGATTTAGTGCACCTAGTCAAACGATGCTACAACACGTTAAAAGGAAGTCGGTATACCAAGTGATATGGACAATAGTCATATGCTTTCAATCATAGAGCAAAAAATGTGTGCTGATGACAGAAAAATATGGGCATGTTACCTGGAACAAGAGAAAAAAGTTCCAACTTTACAAGCATTAATGTTATGGATGACAGTGGAGATGAAGTCTCGTATGCGTGCTACAGCACCAATCAGATCAACCTTTGTTCACAAGCGTACCGTCACTCATGTCACTAGTGAAAGCAGCAACCGCAACATACTAACAAGACACAAATGCTGGCTTTGCTCAAACTCTTCACACTGGCCAGATCAATGTATAAAGTTTGCTGGGCTCAATGTGAATGACCGTCACAAAGTTGCCAGAGAGAATCATGTTTGTTTTAGCTGCCTGAAAAAAGCTGGAAGAGATCACAAAGCCGTCAACTGTAGTCGTCGCAAGCAATGTCCAGTCGTTAAAAATGGTATACGTTGCAACGGTTTCCATCATCATCTCCTGCACAAAGAGGAAAACGGCACAGTAGGAGTCGGAGTTGCCATCGCATCTGATGACGGAGAAGCAATCCTTCCAGTTATTACAGTCAACATTTCCAATTCAAGAGGTTTCTTCAAGCGAGGAAATGTATTGTTAGATTCAGGAGCACAAATCAGCTTGATACGTCAAGAGACAGCTGAAAAACTAGGACTTAAAGGTCAAGATGTATCAGTCAACATTACAAAAGTTGGTGGAGAGGAAGAAACATTAAAAACAAAGAAATATACCGTTACAGTTTCCCAAATCAATGACCAGAAACAGTATTCAGTCAAGGCAATTGGCATTCCAATAATAAGTGATGGTATCAAATCTGTCAACACATCCAGACTACAAGAAATTTTCGGACTGCAAGCAGAAAAGGTGAGAAGAGGAAGCGGCCCAGTGGACTTGTTAATCGGCATAGATTATGCTTTCATGCATTCAGGTGAAACAAGGCAAGCTGGCCATCTGATGGCTCGACAGTCTCCACTTGGATGGGTATTTTTTGGAGCAAGACCAGGAGAGACATGTGAGGTAACAAGCATACTTCATGTGAAGTATACAGAACCAGTTGACCTTGCTGCCTTTTGGACCACGGAATCAATGGGAGTTAATATGAAGCAATGTATATGCACTGCAGACAAACTGAGTGAAACTGAGAAGGAAGAGGCCAGAATCATTGCAGAATCGTGTGTTAAGGTGGAAAACCAATGGCTAGTTCCATATCCATGGAAAAAGGATCCCAATCTTCTACCTGACAATAAACAATTGGCAGTGAAGCGTTTAGAATCAATGGAACGTCGATTGAAGATTAAACCCGAACAAGCAGAAGCTTATGATAAGCAAATGAAAGAAATGAACGAAATGAACTTTTCACGTAAATTGACAACTGACGAATTAAAAGAATATAAAGGCCCTGTGCATTACATCCCCCATCATGCAGTCCTAAGACCAGAGAAGAAAAGCACACCTGTCCGAATCGTGTTCAACTCATCCTCAGTGTTTCAAGGTCATCAACTCAACGATTATTGGATGAAAGGCCCAGACTTATTGAATAACCTGTTTGGAGTCAGTCTGCGTTTCAGAGAAAGAGAAGTAGCATTGATTGGTGACATATCAAAGATGTATCATCGAATATTGATACCAGAACAAGATCAGCATGTACACAGATTTCTTTGGCGTAATTTAGAGACACACAGAGAGCCTGATGTTTATGTCAAGACAGTTCTTACATTTGGGGACAAACCAGCTCCAGCGATGGCACAGATTGCTTTGAGAAAGACGGCAGAAGAATGTAAAGAAATCAAACCGAAAGCTGGAAAGGTGCTGACAGAAAATGTTTACATGGATGATATATGTGAATCAGTGGAAACGGTAGAAGAAGCAAAGAAGCTAGCAGAGGATATAGATTTTGTTCTGAAGAACGGAGGTTTCCAAGTCAAAGGATGGATTTCAAACAAAGAACTGCATGAAAACAGCAAGCATACAGGAGAGTCAGATGCAAACAATATGCTGAAAGAAGAAGCAGATGAGAAAGTACTTGGAATTTCTTGGAACAGAAAGTCAGATACGCTGTCACTTAAAGTTGACTCTGACTTGATGAAACTCATTGATGAAGAAAAGCATCTAACAGAGAAGGTAAAACTAACCAAAAGAAGACTACTGTCTGAAGTTGCAAAGATTTATGATCCAATCGGATTGGCTGCTGCATTTATTATCAGAGCTAAGATTGGAATACAGGAACTATGGCAGACTGGAATTGATTGGGATATAGAAATTCCTACAAATATGCGAGGGAAATGGATTGAACTGTTTAAAGAGATGAAAGAGCTCAACAATATTTCTTTCAGAAGACCATTGCTAACAACAGATGTCAAAGAAAAACCATCATTGTGTTTGTTTTCAGATGCGTCACAAGAAGCCTTTGGAGCATGTGCATACCTTCGACAGAAGATTGAGAATGGCAAATTTGATGTTAGATTCGTTGCTGCCAAAACAAGAGTTGCACCACTAAAACAGCTAACCATACCACGCTTGGAGTTACAAGCTGCTGTCCTTGCATCACGTCTTGCAAAAACGATTCAAGAAGAATCAAGGATCGAATTCAAGGATGTTAATTTCTTCACAGACAGCTCGATAACATCAGCTTGGATTCAAAGTCCATCACGCAGTTACAAACCATTTGTATCATCCAGGATAGGAGAGATTCAAAGCAATTCAGACCCTAGCCAGTGGAAACACATTCCTGGGGAAAACAATGTAGCAGACGAGCTGTCACGAGGGATTCATGTACATGAACTGAACGGAAGATGGATGCACGGACCAGAGTTTCTACGAACTGCGGAAGAATTATGGCCAACAAAAGCTATTCCGTCGCCAGTCAAAGAAGACAGTGAACGTCGTAAAGCTACAAAAGTCTGTTTGTCGATAAACACAAAGCCTGAAAATGTTATCAATTATGACACAGTCTCCAGTTGGCCGAAGCTTATACGAGTTTATGCATGGATCAAAAGACTAGCTGAAAATATCAGACGCCTGAAACGTCATGTACCATTTAAATATGGACCACTGAAACCCGAGGAACTCCAGAAATCAGAGTTGTTTCTGATCAAAGATGCACAAAAAAGCTTACATAACCGTTTAAAGAAAGGTGAATTCAAGTCACTCAGTCCTTTTGTTGACGAAAATGGAGTTATTAGAGTTGGAGGCAGAGCAGATAAAGCGTTATTGTCTTATGAGACAAGACATCCAGCCCTACTGCCAAGTTATCATAGGATTTCACTGCTGATAACTAGACACGTACACCAACACGGACACACCGGAGTTGCAACAACCACAGCCAAGATAAGGAGGAAATATTGGATACTTACAGGCAACAAAATAAGCAAATCTGTTAAATTCAAGTGTGTGTTCTGCAGAGAATTGGCACACAAAGCAGAAGAACAACAAATGGGAAGCCTTCCTGCAATTCGACTGACACCGCAAACACCACCATTCTACTACACAGCATGTGATTATTTTGGACCGTACAATGTTAGAATTGGACGTAATAAAACGGCAAAGCATTATGGTGTCATATTTACATGCTTGAGTACAAGAGCAGTTCACCTAGAGCTAGCAACCGATTGTTCTACAATGGAATTTTTACAAGTACTGAGAAGATTTTTCTGCATTCGAGGCTATCCAGCAGTAATTTTGAGTGACAATGGAACACAGATGGTTGGTGCAGAGAGAGTTTTGAGAGAGATGATAGAGGAATTCGACACTGACCAACTACAAGATTTTTGTGCAGGGAGAGGCATAAACTGGATTTTCATCACACCGGCAGCACCACACCAAAATGGATGCGCAGAAGCACTTGTAAAGAGCAGCAAAAGAGCATTAAAAATCGCTATTGGTGAACAAGTTTTGAGACCCTTTGAATTATACACTTGTTTGATGGAAGTTGCAAACTTGTTGAACCAACGCCCAATTGGTAGAATTCCAAATGATCCAGATGATGGAGCCTACTTATGTCCAAACGATCTTCTGTTAGGAAGAGCTACCCCAGAAGTACCTCAAGGCCCATTTCAAGAAACTAAAGACCCACGTCAAAGGGTAGAGTT